AGGACGGTAAGCTTGTTATCTTTTTTTTTTTTTTGCCCAACCGCTTCACGCGCTAACCTGTTGTGAGCGACGCTGATATGCTACCTTCCCCATTGTTTCGGAGACAGCTATTTGCTAGTTTAGTTTGTGTAGTGTTGATTTCACATTGGCCTACCCACGTACATTTTCTACTACCCCCTCCCAACTTTTGTGACTGTTCCCATTATTATTATTATTATTATTATTATTATTATTATTATTATTATTATTATTATTATTATTATTGTTATTATTATTATTATTATTATTATTATTATTATTATTATTATTATATTATTATTATTATTATTATTATTATTATTATTATTATTATTATTTGGTGCTTAGAGACCTTGGTTATTTGCAGCTTATAAATTGACTAATTATAAAAATATATATATTTTTCATTTTCTAACGAACATAACAAGTTCCCTTTTTGAGTTGGAGCAACCAAATGTTGATTGGCGTCTGTATACGCTCGAAGCTCCTAATTTTGTTTTTTTTCAAAGTTATAAAAAATAAATAAATAAATAAATAAAAACAGCAGATAAAATTGCATTCAACTTTAAATCTAACTGTGCCATTTTCGACCATTTAGAGGTGCTATAATCATTGTCGTGGGGCTGAGGGTGCACATCTATTTGCACAAGACCCTCCCTGTGTCCCCTCTATTTCGACTTCCTGGACCCGCCAAATTTGGAGTAGGCTTATCATTTCCGGGTTTCAGAAGGGTAATTTTTATCTATGGGGGGAAAAGTGAGGGTTTCGTCGGGGACTACCCAAGGATACCCCTCATGATTAGTAATTCATTGAGATCGTGGAAGCAATTCAATGGAGTGGGGTCTTAAATTTCGTCCAGAAATCAGTGGCAGATCCAAGGGTGTGCGGTCTAAATTTTAAGTCTGGGGGTGCAATTTCTGGCCATCTAGAGGTGCTATAATTACAAATTTTCTTGCCTCAGCCCTAAGCATAGTAGGGCTGAGGTAGTATTGATCCACCATCTGCGAAAGTACCCAGTGGCGTATTCAAGGGGGCCCAGTCGGCCCACTAACCTCTCCTCTCCCTTAAAATGGTCACTTGAAAAAATAGAGATATAAATAAAATTATATTTAAATTTTATGTCTGGAACTGCAATTTCCGGCCATCTAGAGGTACCATAATCAAAAATTTTCTTACCTCATGAGCCACAACCATCTTTGGAAGTATCCCCACCCCCCCACCACCTGCTCCTCTAGGCCTATTTCGATTTCCTGGATCCGCCACTGGAAATTACAACAAATTAAGTCATATTACAGTATAGCTTGATGCCTATAAAATAACTAACAAAATTCACCAAACTTCGTCAAATATCCGTAGCTTGTCACCCCCTTCCCCACCGCGGGTCCTTTGCGGCCCCTAGGCCCCAGCATAAATGCTCGCTTCGCTCGCTGAAATGACACCCCACCCACTTTCAAAAAACGTTCCGCCACCGTTGGATGCATGAGCGTTGTATTTCTTTTCTCTCTCACATCTTCTGATGACAGTTTGATACGTTTGCCCATCCTCGGCCGCCTTTACCATCTTATCTCATAAAATGAAAAAAATAAAAAAAATCATTTTTCTATATATACATTGACGATGAAGGCGATTGAAGATGCAAAACAGTCCATTAGAAGAAGATGATTTTTTTTTAAACCACCAAGTAAACGCGTTAGCAAAATTATTGGCCTGAAAGCAAGTTTCCTTTTAAAAATACAACATACTTATTTTATCTTGTTCGTTAAAACATGTCTATCCGACGCAACCTGGAATGCTCCCCAGTTCGACCTACCAATCAGTATCACCAAAAGCTGTCTAATGATAGTTTGTCTGAGTGGCAGGTTGTTCAGTTGTTGTATTGGTTGGTTGGACAATTAATTAAAACGATCCTGATAGATGACCTTTATATTTCAATTTGATTCACTCCACATTCAATTATACAGTGAT